CAACCGGTAGTTTATTCAAAGTTAATTGTTTAGTCGATTCTTGATAGCTATGACAGCGATTGCACTTTATTTTTGCACTACTTCCAAGGTGTTCCGGTCTTGTAAATCTGAAAATAAATTTGATGAAGATTTAAGTGAAACTACAGTGTTTGACAACTTTTATACAATACGAGGTCACAAGCTTCTACTTGAAGGTGAAGTTAAAGGAAAAAAATTGATTGGTTTTTCATGTGTACCCCTGGAGTGAAAACAAAAAAGATGGCTTAATCATATGGCATACCATAGCCTGACTGTATTCGAAATCAATTCACAAAATTTTGATTATGTTCAACCTAAATTACGCAAAATACATTCTACATTTGAAATATGTTTAAACACTGCAATTGGATGAGACCGATTGCTAGATGATCATCCAATTTGAGATTCACTCAAGAGTACCTTCGTGTACAAAGGAACTAGTGAGTTGATTGTTGACATTGCACCGAGTTAAAGATTAACAGATAAATCAGATGATTGCACTAGACTTGCTTTCTTTAATTATTTTACCAAATATAAAATTTTCATCCTTGCTCTTCATAACACACGCTAATAAAGGTCGGTACAGTTGAGGCATGCTATACTGAACAAGATATGTACAACAGAATTGTTCGGTATTTTAATGAGAGCAACACATTCAATAAGTTTATTAAAATAATTCTACTTCACATCATAATGCTGAATTACATATCAAGCCAATGTTGCAATAAAATGTTACGTTGCTTCAAATGGTGTGATTTGAGTATTTCTATATTAATTTCATCCAGTTGCAAATGGAGTACATAAACCTAAAATATGCACAATTAGGGTTTGAATATCATATCACACCAGCACAAATCTTATCTTAATAATTTTATATCAGTACCTATTCAGGCAATCCTTCAGTGACATCGGTCTGTTATCTGATGACACATGAGGAATTACTGAACTATTATTTGTGTTTTCTGTAGTGGTAAGTGGCTGATGTAGAGGAGAAGTACAATGCCATGGGCTTGAGGTAGAACCTAGAAATATGATACTTTATTATTTAAAATCACAAAAAATGATTATGAGAGAACAGTTAGTGTTTTTTGAAACAAGCATTAGCTGATGCAGTGGTACACTTGAATGTGTGAAAGCATCTATTGAATGATTATTAAAAACTTTCACTTATGTAACGAATCGACGAGTTTCAATGTCACCTTGAAATCACAGGAACATTTTAACTAAACCTCACCTGGTAAGTCAAGCGAGATGTCCCAGAATGGGTCAATAGTCGTAGAAACGCCCTGACATACTTGACATTCAACATCAGATTGCCAACCACCAGTAAATATTTGATCAATTATACAACGACATGGTTGATTTCGAGATCCGGACTTTTTCCCGGTCATTGGGCTGTTGCTGTTCTTTGATTCATTGCTAGCAAACATAAATACAAAGAGAAGCATTATTAGTGTGTTACACTATCCTGATGGGGGTTATTTTGTTACAGGCTTCGACTTGGAACAGTAAATCGCAATGACCATAACCTGCATAGGATTACTATATATTGCAACCTAATCAAAATGTAACATAGTAGATCAAATTTACACAAAAAAGATACACAACAAAACTTAGTAGTACACAAAAGACATGACTAATAAATTGCAGGTATTTCAGAATTAGATTCATAAAGATCTTCAGAGCATTTATGTGTATCATTTAATAAGGATCAAAATATACCATGCAATAAGAAATAACACACTTGCAGTTGATACAAATACACAACAGAATGTCAGAATATTTAGATAGAAATTTGTATGAGATATTTGTGAAAAAGCTTCTATATTAGCAACACAAGAATACAAATGATTCAACCTTGCACTCAAATGTTGATGAAGAAGATCCAGTGCAGCAATAAGGAACTCATGAGCATCTTGTTGTTCATACCCTGCCAAATGTCGAGCATTTGTCCACACAAGATGAAGTAAACGATACGGTATATAAGCAGTTTGCTTAGCAGCATAAAATTCCTGAAAAAATATCAGCAGTGTTCACGATGTTTTCAATAAGCCACAAACCGTACAACTCTGAAATTTCGATGAGATGATGCAACCAATATATGCCCCTTTTTGAGTCAACAGAATCATGCCTCTCACAGCAGCTAGCCTTAATACATTCAATACAATGTATTTCCATTCATGGTTTATATGTAAAATGGATTATTGCAGATCCATGAATTTGTAAGAGCTCGTTGTCACAATTGGTCACACTCACAAGCATCACAAATTACAATAACATGTAAAACGATACCAATAATATGAATAATAATATATGCTAATAAAAAAGGCAGCAATAAATTAACAGGAATAATGCAAAAATATATGTGAAAGTGAATCAAAGACAATGTTGCTAGAATAGCGGTTCACTGGGGACGAGCTTGTCAATATATTGTTCCTCTTCATATAAACCATGTCAAGATATGAGTACACCATACAAAATCAACACCTTTCAACTCCACATGGCAAGAATAATATGAACGCAAAATGATAAAACATTGAAGGAACAAATAAAATCCCTAAAACCTACCTGGAAAAGTCTCATCATTTCACAAACCAAACACCGATCTTTATCACATATATGTTTTTCAGCTAAAAAGTAATCTCTCAACATCGGTGTGTGGACAAATGCCTAGAAATAAACTTTAATAAGGTATACTGTATTAAGATAGGGATGTTCATGTCCAAATAGTTGGTTTTCTAGAATTCTATCTGAGAAAAAATTTCAATTTTGAATATTTTAAAGTTTCATTTCATTTTACATTAAAAGCATGATAAAAACCTAATTCAGCTTTGACATAAATAGCCACTTTACTGCACAAATAAAAACTTTCATAGAAAATAACAGGAATTCGAATATCTGAATTCGTGATAGAGATCTTTTTTAGATAGCAATAACATTGTTTAAACTTACAGTGTAAAGCTTTTACAGAAGTGTTATGATATTTTAAGAGGCAGATGATTTTCAAAAGTGACAGATAGAGATATAGCTATTCAGAAAGATCACTTTTTGTCAGAACACAACCTCTAATTATGTGCTCAATTTTCTTTTTCATGATATTAAGCACTTCAAAGTTAACAAAACTTATAAATTATATCTGTATATGAATGATCACAAGTCATGATGAAATGTACATTCTAAGTTACCAACCAGCCTTTGCATAAAGTGCATTAAGTCGAAAGATTACATTAATATTGCAATAATATTACCTGTAATATGCAGTTCATGAAACAAGTATTTCCAAGGTTAACAAGACCACGCAATCCAATATAGCTCTCTGGTGAAATTTTTCGTCGCTTTGGATTTAGACGAAGATATTCCAAATCCACATCCGAGGGTTCCCAGAATGGCCACATGCTCACATGACTCTCACTCCAACCCATAGATTTGCACATATTTTTCCACTCTGCCTGTTTGATAAAAGAAAATGACATTTTGCTTTGCTTAATCTTAGACATATTATATTCAAATGAATATTGACCAACCTTCGCAATTTTGTCCAACTCTTTGTCATAAACGTAATCAGCACAACGGAAACAATATGTCTGACCAAATGTTAAATCCATAGCAAGAAAGTGATCGTTTTTCTTTGCATGAGCATGCATATGTTGTCTGGGTAAAAAATAGTTTTAGTGAACAGACTATATGATTTCAAATGAATTTTGATCAAAATTGATAGCGCTTTAATTGGGCAGAGCACTCATTAATACTACATAATTTCAAAATCAAATCAAACACATTTGTATTGTAAAATTTTTGATTATAAAGTTTATCAAATAATTTCATTCAACTACCGACTATGAATAAACACACACACAGACATTGAACCCATGACATCAAATCATGTCACTTATTAATCAAATATTATTCATTGGCCATCAATTGAAAGTAATTTTCTCATTTGACACAGATGAATTACCTTAAAAGAAATAAAAATATCCCACAATAGCGAACTGCTCACGAGGTGCCGGTAAACTTATTTAGATAAGACTTTCTCTTTACAAGGTAATGTAGGTTAGTCAAATATAGTCATAGAAATAAATTGCCTGCCTTAGTGAAAAAACATTTCTTCTCAGACTATATTATTATTAAATCAAACATTGAAACATATATCCATCATATTCGGTAGGCTACCACTACCACTGATGGCTACATCGTTTTGTTTTGGGGTAATAGTTATGAAAATGCTCATAACACATCGAGTAACATACAATAATACCAATATACTTTATATTCTTCTGAAAAAGTGTTCCAATTCATTAAGACGGCATCTCGACAACAAATATAGTAAGCTTCATTTTATTAAAAGTCAATTAGAAACTGTAGGATAATCATTTCACTTACTTTTCATAACATCCAAAATATATGCAATGAAGGCAGGCATGTAGTCGACCTTTATATGTCTTGCATACTTGGCATACACAAGACTTTGCACGAACCTGCATTTATTGAAAAAAGAGATATATATGAACCTAGTAATGGGTATAAAAAAAGTGGTAATTTTGACAACTCACTAATCCTGACAAAAAGATGCTTTAAAAATTCTAATTATCAATTGTTTCAAGATAAATAGTAACCTACATAATATCTTTCAAATAATATTTCCTGATACAAATCTCACTGCATTTACTCAAGACATTTTTCAAATATTTTCAATGAAAACGAAAGTTGCGATACATGTTGCAAACAATGAAAACTGCATGTCTCAATTCGAAAAATACTGCTAGATGTTGAAATCCAATTTTTTTCAAGTATCATAAAACAACAATAGGCTAAAAAATGCTTACCTGTCTTGCTTCATGAGTGCTGCAATTCACCAACCATTTTTGAGTTATCTGAAATGGTTTGTGTCCAAAAGAATTCAGAAATGTGACAAGATGTTCACACGATACAAGTGGCGTTGGAGCCATAATTATATATAGAAATATACTATATACATTATACTATAACATTAGAATGCATTTTGATTAAACATTATCGTGGCATATTTAACATTTTTGATTCAACAAAGCAACAATATTACAATTTGACAACATATAACTAATCAATGAATGCTAGAATTTCGTAACACATAGAATTAATAGGCCAGGTTTACAACATACAGTTAAAAAAGATGAATTGTTCAAAAAAATGATCTAGGTGTATGACAGGCTTCAGCTATCTATCAAAATAGAAAAATCCAGATTGATTAGCTGAGCGAATTATTTATCTCAATATAATTATTTATCTCAATATAACACACTGTATCTACAATTTATGCACACTTGGTAAGTTTCATACCAAATTTGTCACCACATGAAAACATGCTTATGTGGAATTAGGAAGAAACTAAGCACAACAACATAGAAATACTTGCATAATACTATTGCAAATTGAAAAGTCAAATTATAGTTTCCAACCACTCGCTGAGTTTTATTTCCTATCAAGCTCATCTGAGGATGTCTTTGGTTGGGCAACAGGCACAGAGTTAAAAGTATGTGAAAGCGTTACATAAAAACTGTTTGAAATCCTGCCAAAATAGTCCTGGGTTATAAATCTTACACAAACAAGTCAATAGTCATTAGTAAATGCATAATAACAAAAGAAATTTCAAAAGACCAAGCAACAGCAATCAGAATACCAAGGAAAACCAGTCAAATCCATACAACAGTTAAAGTCAAATATGGACGATGATTAAATTGTGCACAACATGGGCAGTTTACATTGCACACTTGCTGGTAATTTTTTTTGAAGTATTAGGCCATTAATAACAATTTCTTAGCAAAATTACAAATGCATATTGAGAGTTGAACCATATAGTCTACATGTTTTGAAGGTAAATATAATAATTACTGGAACAAATTAGACATGATGTAGTAAAATTAAAGACTAATTCCTATGCTCAGAAATGCTCAATCGCTGCAGACAAACTTCTTTAATGTCAAAATATGATCATTCTAAGAGCTAATAGAAGATAATTAGTGAAATTTTATAACCATTCATGAATTGGTAAAATTATCTACTCAAAATAGAATGTATTTTTAATTTGAACCAGAAATATAATATCGATAAACAATCGCAACTGCAAATGCAACAAGAGCAGGAATGACCCAATTACTCCAGGCAGTAGGTTCATCTTTGCTCTCATGCGTTGTGACAAATTGTGGAGTTTCCTCAGCAAATCTGTCATCAGGATGAAGTTCTCCAATCAAATATTCTTCCGATAATGACCTTGCATCAGAAGAATGTCCAACATCTTCAAAAGCTTCAGTTGCATTTTTTCCTGCTTGTTCTAACAAAACTTCTTCACCTCCGGGATGATCTTCCAAAAATTTAGTGACATCGTAAACCTTGTTATGAATAACCAACCAAGATGATTTGACACTGTTGTGTTGCTTTACCTCGTCTATGCGAAATACTTTTTTGGATGTTTCTTTCTGTTGTGATTCTGCCATTATCCAGTTATCAGATATTTGCAATCAGTCTTTCTCTCTGTATTGCAATAAATGCTAAGCCTATATTCAATATAATACTAATAATTAAGTAATAGAAAGTTTATTATGATTACTCTGTTTGTTTCACTGCCCCCCCCCCCCAAGTTTGCCGATTTAATATAAAAATTGCATGGAGGTATATGAAATGGCATTTGCAAGGCATCTAAAGGTCCTTCCGGTCAGTTTTCCACCCCGTTCCGGTAATTTACGGTCCGTTCCGGTAATGAAAGGAACCGGGATTGTCAGTTTATTTATTTATCACTATTACGAGACGAATAAACATACATCACAGTACAGCAGTATCGAGCACAGGCTGACCAGCTGACAGGACTAAGCATGTCTTCCTATGGTTTAGTGCCACATTTATCATTCAGTTAATGCCGACATACCAAAATGTAGTGCTGCTTTTTAATCAATTAGAGTAACTTAATTACTTACGAAATGTGGTTTTGCTTCATGATAGGGTAGTCTATGCCAGTGGTTCCCAACCTTTCTTCCCTGGCCCTGGCGGACCGGTAAAATTAAATAAAATGTACGGTATTCGCAGACCGGCAAAATATTTGAATGAGTGGAACAGAAAATAATAAAGTATATTTTCGTAATATACTTCAATGTCGGGCAGTCACTATTGACTAGCCTATGCTTCTGGATAAAAAGGGCACACAAACATCTCACTTGAATAAAAACTGTAGCGAACCGAACCGGCAGTCTATGTAATAATTATCCAAGTCCAGAATATCTTCCAATATGATCTGACGTCAAGTTTCCTCCCAATATTCAGTGCAAGTACAATTGTTTTGGGTTGTATTTTTAGTTTATTCATGAAATTGGCTATCTACAGACTACAGTGCTTTTCGAATCTTGTGCACCTGTGGAATTGTTTGTGGTTTTTTTAAAGTGCCCGTCATGGGGTATTCTCAGCGAATTTTACAAATTGTAAGTAGCTGGTTTAGTGTACCGGATTATAGGATAGGATTTACATATTTATCCCGGGGGAGAAGAAAGCCGATAAGACGGCTTATCCATATGGCGAACCACGGCCTCTCGTCCGGTTACCATTCCAAGTCGGGTATGGGATTAGTTTTACTGTATTGTTTGTTTTCGGAAGCATGGACTTGGTGGTGTAGGAAGCCGTAACCGACCAGCGGTTACGTGAACCACCCAAAGACGACGAGGAGTCCAGCAATCCTCTCGCACATAACCATCCCTGCATGGGATTCAAACCTGCGAACCCACGCAAAGTAATTAGAGGTGCGGTGGCGAGCGTATTCCTAACGCTTAGCCCGTTGAGCCACACCGGTTGTTTTGGCTGCTATTGAAAGTTGTCTTTGATTTCAGGGTCCGTCTTTAATTTTTATTGTTTTCATTGGAGTATTTGGTTGTATTAAGATTGTAATTAATAAATAGAACAAAATAGTACCGGTACCGGTATAAATTGAAGTGTACCGGTACTAAAACAATAATACCGGTATCATCCCACTGTCTAGCATCAAAACGTCCAACAATCCCAATCTAATAGTCATAAAACCAAGAGTAAACATCTTTGATAAGCTACTTGAGACTTAGAGGCACTTTTGCAGATATAAAATACCCTTAAACACTCAAAATCCGTGGTTCGCCATATGGATAAGCCGTCTTATCGGCTTTCCTCTCCCCCGGGATAAATATGTAAATCCTATCCTATCCTAAACAATCACAACTGTACGGCTGCAAACCACAGCATAGGCTAACAGGATACCAAAAAACAAATCGACAGTGTCACAGCGCCCTCAGGGTCTTCAGTGTTAAAAATACAAAATAAAATATAGCAATATTATCACATCAGAGCCATTATATAATGGCTCTGATCATATGACAACAATTAAAAAATAAAACAAGGGTCGTCACATTACCCCCCTCTTCTAGATCAGTGGTTCCCAAACTTTTTTGACCATCGCCCCCCTAAAGTAGTTTATACAACTTCATCGCCCTCCAGCACTACAAAAAAATGTAAAGTCAGAAACGAATATATTACAGACCAAATGAGAAGACAAATCATAGTTTATAGTGTTTGTTAATGAGATGGATGAGCTTGGTGTTCTTCAGCAAGTTTTTTATTAGTAGCACGGCTCAAAAACCCTTTTTCACCATATATTAGGTCGGAAATGAAAGAATCCAGGGTTCTATCTCCTTAAAAAACGTCGTGTACTCTTGCCTTATAGCATTTCACTTCCTAAATTCACCAAATTTCACATTAAATTAATGAAAGCAAAGTTAATTTTCGCATATATTTTTTAAAAGTTAAAAACGGAACAACGCGCGAAGACTGAGACAATTCGTGAACTCAACTCAGTCGTCTTATTAAAAAATATTACAATGACATTTTATGTGACACTGTCATGTTGATGCATCACGCTTGATAGCTTTACGACGCCAAGATTGGAACATTTTCTAAATGGGCATCACTAATCCCAGTTCTTCGCTTGTTCTTTGTAATGTCTCCATTTTCGAAAAAAATTGTTTGCACAAAAATATGTACTTCCAAACATCTAAGTGAATATTCTCGCATGGTTTGTGAAATTTTGATAAAGATTTTTTTTAGGAAGATACTTTCTTACAAAAATTACGCAGTGATGAATCTCTCGAATAGAATAGGAATTTTAATTCCTTATTGCATTGCAATATATTCGAGTACTTACTGCGCTATTGAACCCCTGCCCTCAGCATCAACTTTTTTTCCTCGTGTTTCCATTTGTCTAATTATAATTAAATTCTAGGCTCGTTAAACGAGTAGCTAGCTGTTTAATAGAATTTTTAGGATATAATAAAATTTAGTCTAAACGTGTCTCACGATAAATTCTGTTACGTAAAAAAATGTAATTTACTCCTCGAGCGTAGATTATAAATAAATTCATCGTCAAAACCGCCGTTTGGATGTTTCCCCGGGCATAGACTTCCTTGCTTACATCGTGACATTGGCCAATCAGCAAGATGCAAAAATAAACGTAACAATGCCCCCTTTGGCATCCGCTCAGACAGACTTTCAGGCGTGGTCGTGAACATTCCTCATTTTTGAATTGAATTCGTTAGTTTTTAGTTGTTTTTCGGAAATTTAAATAAAAATCATATAAGTCAATGATTACTTTGTCCTCCTATGAGTTTCAGTTTAAATACGGTAATCAAAAATTGGTGTAGAAATAGCTGTGATAGACAATAGGCTAAATTTTTTTATCGGTACTTTTAAAAAACAGATTGTTGAATGGTATGAATTAGAATGATAGTTTGAAACAAATACCCTATTTTACAGGCAAACACTCGCGAAACCACTCTTAAAAATAAGCACCGAAAATTTAAAAATGATAAAGTATATAGGAAGAATTTTACGCGGTCAAAGGTCGGGGATAGGTCTATTCAGTGAATCGTCCCGGGCCATATTTTTTTACTTAAGCCGTATTTTGTCGACCACTGGGATACGCCAACTACCGTACCTTACTGCGGAGACGAGTCCAGAAATCCATTCGCGTGTGATAATCGACCACGTGAATCAAGTCTGCGAATGCACACAGCGTAGGCTACAGAATTGAGTGCACGATACGCAGAGCAATAACAGATTTCGCGAAATCGCCCCCTTCGACTTTTTCGCCCCCCTCTGTATCGTTTTCGCCCACCGGGGGGCGATATCGCCCACTTTGGGAATTACTGTTCTAGATGGAACATTATGAAAGAATGTTTTCATCTTCATTAGAAAAATTAAACAACGAAAGAAGCAGTAGTCAACACAAAATATTTACACAAAGTCTTATATGCAGGTTGTCTACGCTCACGCTTAGACATCCTTAAAGTTTGCCCTTCTGGATTGGGCAACTCGTACCAAAGTATTATTTCCTCACAAGGCTGAAGATCCGCCTCTCCTGGTGTGTGTTCCGCAGAATTCGCCTCTTCCGATGTCTGTTCCCCCGAATCCGGCTCTTCTGGTGTGTGTTCCCCCGAATCCGCCGGGCTATCATATAAGAAAGCACTTGGTTCCTGGGTCTCTTCATGAATAAAAGGTTGCAAATTATCCACATGAACCACACGCGTCTTGTTGCCTGGATTCCGTTGTATCTCATAAGTGTGATTTGAGAGACATCTCCTAACCCTGCCATGGAGAACTCAGCTTCTTCTTCTTGGGTGGGTAATAGTAGCCTACCATACAAGGTCTCCCTCTTCAAACTTCTGTGGTTGCACATGAACATCAAAATTTCTCCTCTGTCGCAAGGCAGCTTGATTCAAATGATTTCTGGCGCATACAAAAGATTACCATTCCACATATTTGATATAACAAGGATGTAGAGGAGTTTGAGTCGGACGCCCATACATGACATCGACAGGGAGGTCAATCTCTCGGCCAAGCATAAGACGATTGGGTGTAAACTGCGTACTTTCATGCACTGTAGCTCTGTAAGCCATGCACAGATAGGGAACATGGTCATCCCAATTGTCTCAATGATCGTTCACATAAGGCTTGAGCATTTGCTGAATCGTTCGATTAAACCTCTCCACTTGTCCATCGGATCGAGGGTGATAAGATGTCGTATGCGTCTTGACTATACCGTACAAGTCGCACATCTCTGTGAACAACCGAGATTCAAAATCTCGACCCTGATCAGTGTGAATAATCCGAGGAACTCCAAATCTTGCAAAGAACTGGGTGACCAGCACATCGGCTGTTACCTCTGCAGTCTGATTGGGAAGTGGATAACACTTCACCCACTTGGTGAAATAATCTGATAGCACCAGAAGATGTTCATTTCCATTCTTGGTACGTGGTAGTGGTCCAAAGAAATCCATGGCGACCCGTTCCATGGGAGATCCGCAGAGCAGTTCTCGTAGATCCCCCTGTTTGCGCCCGTGAGTCATCTTAGCCGCAGCGCAAGGTTTGCAAAACCGGCACCAGAGCAAAATATCCCTTTTAAAACCAGGCCAGTAATAACGAGCACGAACACTCTTGAATGTTTTAATAGAGCTTAAATGTCCGGAGGTACGGGCACTGTGTAAATGCTGGAAGATTTCTCTTCTCAATGCCCCAGAAATGCAAAATTGATAAGCG